AGGCAACTGGGTCCTTTTACCAGCCACAATAAAATTGGTCATGCCAGTACTGTCATAAACTGTAACCAACTATTTAAAAATTAGACATCTTTAGCTAAATTTTAAATTTTAAGTCATAGAGCAATCTTCTTAATTTTAAAATTGTTAAGAATTATATTTTACCCTAACTATGATGTGGTGGCATTTCATACTTAACTAAATTTCAACTTTGAAAGTAAATAGATTATTAGTGACAACAAATTATAGTTTAAGACATCCATTCTGCATTGTGTTTCCAATATTAGAATTTATGATATGTATTGATTGAATAATTGGTAATAAATTTAACTTTTGTTTTATTAACTTTTGTTTTATTAATTATAAATCCAGTATATGGCTTATAAATCAAGAGGCTTGCATATAATGAACATATTGACACGGGTGCAGAGTTGAGTCTGTACGGAACCTAGTAGTTTCAGATCCTTGTTTAACTTGCCGTACAGCAAGGTCATCCACTACTTTAGCCCGGCGAGGCACTATGTGGGCTTTATAAAGGCATTATGTATGCGCTTTCGAAGGACCACGAACGTGCAAGTTCTTTTTATTTGTTAGTAAGCATCTTATACTATATACTGGTTCCAACAAGTTTATTACCGGATGTTTACTTATATTTATTGTGATATTATTATTCATTGTAATGACAATAAAATTTCAATGTTGTTTTCCTTAAAAATGTTGTTTTCCTTATTAGTATATAAGCTGTAATTAAAATTCGGAACGTAAACGTAGAATAAGTCAGTTGTTATTGTGTTCAAGAGAAAAAATTATAAATTAACTTAATTGAAGATGTCAATTCATCGCAGCTCGGCGCGGCACAGTAACGCATTCTGACGGATTTTACTCGTCTTCTCGAAATATTATTGATTATGGCCCGATGGCAAGTGCTACGAAGTAGTGCGCGCCGGGCCAGACCACTAACAATGGTCAATAACACATCGCGCTACAAAATTAACCGGATCATAATTAAATTGCACAAATAATACTTGTGCAACAATTTCGTAAAATATTGTCGATCATTTACTTGAAACACCAATCCCTCGCTCACATTCGTTTTAATTTTACTTTGTACATATATTTACTATTGGTGATTGGTAAATGGCTTAACGGGCGATACTCGTAAAATAGCTGTTCAATATACAGGACCGTCGACGAGTCCAACTCGGCACGCGTCCTGGTAGGTTGTAAACATACAAGTAAATGGCACTCACGTTAAAGTTGACGGGTGATACTGAAATTGTTTATATTTCTGCGAAGAAGCATGTTTGAAATATTATTTGACCCAGGGCAAAGTGCTGCAAAATAGCGCGCGCCGGGTTAGTCAATGAACAATGAACAAACAACTTAAAAATCACAAACACTTTTAATCATTAATTGCTTAAATAATTATGTGCTGTGACCGAGAAAAATTGTTGAAAAGTGGTATACAAATTTATAGTAAGCCGCGCAGACATATATGATATAAGCGTAATTTTAAAACATTTTTTAGCACAGGGTTGGTTTGTTAACATTGTTACTGTTAGTTGTAAATGGGTGATATTCGAAATAACTACAAAGTTTTAAATAAAAGGTTTAACTATAAAAAACAATGAGCACTTTATGTTTGATATAAGACGTTAATTTTATTTCATTAGCCTATATAAAAAGCTTTAATGCACTTCTGCGATTGAGTGCACAAGCAGGTCTCAAAACTGCAACATTTCAATTTATGCAATTTATAGCATTTAATCTATTGTATTGTTCATTTTTCGAGGGTGTCTATCCTTATAACTAGACAATTACCATTGCTGAAATTATCTGTATACTGTTCGAAACATTTTCTATTTATGCAGTGAGCCCCTTCACGCGATCAGCGAGCCCCAGTAACATATCACCACCCTGGAGATTATTAAGTCAAATGAGTAATCATCAAATTCCAAACATTTCTTAGTTGGACCCGATTACTTGAATTGTTGAAAACTTGGTGTCGAATGTAGAACCACTTCACAGAACCACAGAACCAAAGTCAAGAAGTTTGCACAAGATCTAGGTCCTATTCTTTCTAGTCTGGTTAGGTTTAGAGTCAACTAAGATTAAAATTGAAACATCAGTTGTTTCAATTCCAGTTGGTTGAAATGTGAAATTATTTATCAATGCTTATCTGCATATAATGTTCAAGCCCTGTAAAACGATGAGATTGTCAGTTCAGATCAACACTGAACGTTTACATACTCGATTTCATTTGTTTTTCTCATATATCCTGTCATCACTCCTGGAGTAATGGATATTATATGTTTATTTCAATAAATATAATAATCAATAAATTAGAATAGAAACTTGTCTTCTTTTCAGCTCACTCTTCTGAAACCTCTTCCTCTACATTCTCAGCCTCATCATCAACTTCATCATCTTCATCATCAACATCATCACCCCTGTCTTCATCGTTGGTGGTGTGTGCAAGATTTAGGTCCAGTTCGTCAACAGGTATTGCTTTCTCATAATACCGTCCTCTGTGTCCTCTCACTGCAATCAATACTGTCTTAAGTAGCTCAAACCTCAAACGACGTCTTAGATTTGCCATAATGAGGCTTTTGTCCTGGCTGGTCTTGGCTGCCAGAAGTGTTGCTACTCGTTTAAGGAACATGGTAGCCTGTGGGCCCATACCTCCGGTGGTCGAGAATACAAGGCCATTGCAGGTTCCTTTTTCAATTTGTACACAGCGGTCTCCATATTTCCTTTCTTTCTCTCTCTCATGCTTGCTGTACATCTTTGCTGGGGTGTTGTGATTAGCGTTGGATTTGGCTCCGGGGTGTAAAACCCTGATATCAAAAAATGCCATCTCCATTGGTGACCACAAACCTCTAGCTGCTATGTCGAGCCTTGCCCCATCATCCAGGATGGTACCAGGGCGAAGGCTTTCTCCAGTGCATGGCTGGAGTGTGGGCTCTACAACAACCTCATTACAGATTTTTTCAAGAATGCTTGCAACAGTGTCTCTCAGTCGGTTGTGCCTGCTGTTGACAAAGCCTCCTTTCTTGCATACAAGAATGTGGTTGTAGGTGTTATCTTTGCCACAAATGCATTTCTTGGCTATGTTGGCAATGGGTAGAGCATATCTCAATGCTATCGCGTCTTTGAACCCTCGCTTGTTCAAGACAAAGCCGTACTTCTCATAGGGAAGTCCGGTCAGCCAGCTTGATGCACCTTTTTCACATACATGTGGAATCTTCTCACTGATCGAAGGTGGAAGATCGTTCATCAGCTGGTTTTTGAGTGACGCATACCTCTTGGCATTAGACAAGCTAATGGCAGACTTGACTGCTTTCCCAGCCTCTCTGTTGGTATTGAGAGTGGTGTGTTGCTTCAGGATGTGGTCTGTAAGCTGCTGGTTAGCCATGAGTGAGTTCTTGTACTCATTATCAGCAATTTCTACTGGATTGATGATAGCTAGTCCACCTAACTTGGCTGGGAGGGAGAACAGGCTGCGCTCAAAGTTGGACCTAATTGTGTGTCCTGTCATATTGGGAATGAGCAAATTCCTGATCTTGTCCTCAATGGGCTGTAAGTTCACTGCTATGTCGGGGGTGGTCCTCATTAGGAAAGACCATCTGCGGGAGGAGCCGTAAACAAAAGCGGCGTAAGCAAGGTGTGGCTCATGCTGTGCAATTGATGCCAATCCCTCGATCTCTTCTATCCATTCAACACATTTGGCTTGGATAAACTTATTCTTTCCAGACTCTGTACCAATAAAGGAACCCAGGTAACGACAACCTTCAGTGGTGATGTTAAGGTCGGGGAAGAGAGACTTGGCTTCCTCTTGATACTCCTCTTTAACTATAAGCCAGGTCTTGGAAGGTTTGGGAAAATAGCCATAAACGGGGCCAGATGCCTGTAGGGTATCCCACCAAATCTTCAGGGCTTTAAGCCTTCCTGCTGCTCCAGAATCATCTGCAAACCATATGTGTTTAGCAGCTTTGTTGGAGGGCTTATTTACCTTCGGAGTCCTATCTGGAGTTGTATCTGGCGGTGTCTCAATCTTATTGTTCTCCTCTGGAGGCTTCTGGGGAGGTTTCGTGTTCTCACAGACCACGGGAGAGATATCTGGTGGCTCTGTGGGGAGTTTGTCCATAAGGGGCATCAGGCTACAGGAGTAAAATGCAGAAGCACAGTTATCCCCCTGAGTAGTACCTTCTTGGGATAAAATAAACAATCCCTTGGAGTTTGGTATGTACAGTTTTGCTGCTTTTCTGTAGGTATTAACAAGATATTTATACAGCTCGGGACACATCACACTTGTGTTGTGGAGGGCAACTCTCCGGTTTAAACGGTTGAAGGCATTATCTGCATCAACCAGAAGGATACCGTGAGTGTCATCATCTTCATACATAGTTCTAAGAGCATGAATAGCAGCTTCTACTCCACCTTCTAGGCCTGCTGACGCTTAGCTTATTGACAAATAACACATTGTAAATTTAATGTCTGTTGCACTTGAAAAATTGTCCGCTGTTCAGTGGCCTTACGTTTCATAGCACCCCTTTCGATGCCCCTCGACCCTCCCCTACATAAGTACTAAGAAGGAGTACTATTTAAGGAGTACTATTGTACTATTTAATGAATTAGAAGATTTGAAAGGACTCGCTAATAGGTTTTGCTAGTACTTATTTCAAGTTAAATTATCCCACACATTCAAACGGTGATTTGGCATTGCCCACCCCCCACACATTGCTTGGTCAGTGAGGCCATTCGTAAATAAAAAAATATAGTACACCTCTGCTACTATTAGTTAGTTGCACTTAATCCCACTTTCAATTGAAGTTGTTATGGGTCAGATAGATTTATCAAATAGATGTATATTGTGTTTAGGTGACAGGTTCAGTGAAACAATACGTCCATTTCGGTGGTTTTCAGCAAGTGTGAGTGAGCCTAGAGAATACAAATGATACATCTGATTTAAGCTAACAATGACTAATGATTCAACCATTTAGGATGTAATTCGAATATGTGAAACTGTTGGTACTGCTGCACTGAGTGCCATCATGAATTCCTTTAGTGCTGCCTTCAAATCTGCCCAAGAGTTACCTGATGGAGATGTTCAAACTATCGTGAGTACTGTTGTTTTATTTAATACTTTATTTACATTAGCTTGTTGAAAATGTGCACTGAATAAAATATTCAGTTTGCATATTTAACATGCTACCCATGTGACTGAATTTTTCCTTTATCCTCAGGCTTACGTCATCAGTACGTGTATCGTGGGGTTGACGGTGGCACTTTTCATGTATTGCTGTGTCAGTGTCAAAAAGACAGGTTTCTCTTTTATCTTAGTCATGTTATTTTATTCTTCTTTGTAGATCACCAGCTATTTCTGCTTGAAAAGTGAACTTGTGTTAAAACTTTAATCTTTAACATGATAATGATTTGGATTGATGTCGATAAATTTGTTTTCCACTCATGATTCTTGAACATTATCCTCTGAAGTGAGAGACTTGGTTAATGGTCAGTACTAAATTTCAGTTACAAGACGATCTGCCAGCCAGCCAGTCGCCTCACAACAAATGCCTGGTCCGTCCAGGATACGGAAGAGGGACAAAGTGGCAAATTTAACCAAGAAAATGTTCAAGAAACTTCCAAAGGTTTGGTGATAACTTGATTAATCTTGGGGTTCTGAATTCATATCAACCAAATCTGTATTATTGAGACAATATCAATTCTATACAATCTTTCTTCTGGATGATAACAATTGATAGCCTCTTACTAAACTATACATAAAAATAATTTGCAGCTTTCAATAACTGAAGATAACCACGAAAGATTCACAACTTTTATAAAACGCCCGGTAGGACAGTACAGCTTCCGTTCTGATTTGAACTTTTTCAATCAATAAAAACAACACAGATGCTAAAACATTATACATTTTCCTTGCACACAAGCGTTCGAATTATTACAAACAAAGTTTCTCTACTCACGAGTCATTAAATTCCTGCTTTTTCAAGCAATAATGTTTAGAACATTGCAATAGGAGGCTATATTTGGTTCATGTATTAGTGTTCAATGTGTTTAATAAGAAGGGAAATCTGCTGTGAAATGAAGCAAATCTGTTGGTTTTAATTTTCTTGATCCTAACGATCAACTGATCAACTCTGATTGTGTAATGCTGCTGAGAAAAATTATTACATTCGTTTGTATAAAACACAAGTGAGTTTTATCATGCCTTTAGAAAAGTTTAGTTTTTTCTACCCATGAGTTTTACTATAAATTTTTGACTCTTTGTAACGTGTGCCACTTACAAAGAGTTTTCCGATCAAACTGTTCTTGAGTTATTAACACTAATTAACACTTATTAACGATAATTACTTTGAGGCCGTTTTGGGACACTCAGTAGTTAGCTAGTATCCAGGATTGAATTTGATGTTTTTCAGGCTAAGAGTTTCCAAGAGATACAGAAAGCCCTGGAGCGAAGTGGAACACTGACTCTGGAATCTGCCCGGAAGTTGATACACGGTCACCAGGACCATCACACTAGAATCAGCAGGATCAACGTGGGACCTCCGAGCTCTGTTCTTGAGGTGAGCTCTTTCCGTCTTTCCGGACCAATATTCTTAATCATAACACTTTAAAGTTGCGTCTCATTTTTCAATATTTAATAGCCCAAATAGTGGTCATTGCATTCTAAATCCATTTTATTTGCTTCCACACTAATATTAATAATGTGGTAATTATGTGGTAATTATGTGGTAATTATGTGGTAATTATGTGGTAATTATGTGTTAATCATGTGGTATACTCTAATAACAATGCTCATCTCAGGCTAGTATGGTGGATCACGACTACAGACTTCCTCCAGAGCTCAAGAACATCTTACAAAGTGTCAGAGTCTTCGGAAATTTTGAGCAACCGGTCTTTTTAGAACTTTGTAAGTTATAGACATCTATTTTTACTGCTATCTTTGTTCGTTTTGCTCAATATGAAAGTGGGACCTTAAAAACTAATTGAAATACACCTGTCTCTCGCTATCGCAGCGAAATCAGATTTTTTTGAAAGAAAGGGTCGTACCTGACCGTCTCAGCTCAGAATATATGATGAATATTTAATTGCGGCCACTAGAAACAGTCCCTAAACTTGTGGAGATAACTTCTTATCACTCAGAAACTAGTCTAGTTTTAACTCTGAATAACTCCCCAATAGTTCACTGCAGTAGTTCCATTCTTATTAAATCAAAGCCAAACTAACTTCCAGCATATCTTTTGTAATTAATTGTTAAGATGAAAAATTGTATTCTGACGAAAGTAAAAATAACATTTCCCAATTAGATATTATAAGATATAAATATACATATAATAATGAAGCTACATAATAATATATAAATTGTCTTTTAAAATATCCTATTAGTCATTCAATCTCAATTCAACAGATCCGATAAAACCACTAGTTGTAGATGAAATCACTAGTTGTAGATGAAACCACTAGTTGTAGATGAAGCCCCCGCACCCCTTTGACTTACAGTCCTGAGTCTCAGTGTCCTCACCCTCACACATCTCCCCGCCCTTGTCCGGAGCAGGACTATCACAGGTCCTGGTCCTGGTCTGATATCCCGGACCACACGAACTCGAACATTCCGACCATTCCGACCACTCGCTCCACCCTCCGTCAACTTCACACGCGTGTCCACATTTGTCTAGATATTTCTCCAGTTGTCCACATTTCCTCGCTTCTTTCTTGTTCAGTTGGTTATCAACGTTGGTTGAGCAGCCCTCTAAAGATGGTTCAAAGCCCCGTGCTATACACGAGTCGTAGTTCTTTATCTTTGTCTTTAGTTTCTTCTTCGAGAACCGGCATTTTGTTTTTTTGGCGTCCGTTTCGGTTACAAAGAGAACTGCAACGATTCCAGCTAACAAAATAAAAGATCTCATCACTACAAAGTTAGGGAGATTGGTCGAGAAATAAGTTTATGTGCTGAGTAGGGGTTTTCAGATATCTTTACTCTTTAGTCTCCTAACTGATTACAAGAAATCCAACGTCATATTGAGTTTCTCACACTTTTCTGACACTTGATTAAATTAAAAACGTTCCGGGCACAGTTAAAAAGGATTATCTTTAAAGTTCACGATTGGGTAGTCCATTATTCTTATCGAGTTAAGGAAGACTTCTAACAAATGTGCCCACCAAACAGCAGGTTCTCGTATTACCCTCCTAGTACGAGAATGATATTGTTAATCAAATTTAAGCTAGGTAAATATTATTAAAATCAAATAGCTTAATGATCGGACTGCATTAAAATACCTGATACGATATTCATTATACTGAAAATAGCCGATCATCTTTAACTTCTCACTATTCTCAATTGTCAGCGGCTACATATTATTGAAATATTTGTCATATTTCCCCCTGACTGTGGAATATTTCTTAAATCAAGGCAACCGTAGGTAATGATATAGATTGCAGTATGGTGTACAAATATGAGGTTCCAGATAAACACAGCTCAAATATCAACACACCTCTATACTAAACTAACCACACCTCTAAACTAACCACACCTCTAAACTAACCACACCTCTAAACTAACCACACCTCTAAACTAACCACACCTCTAATCTAACCACACCTCTAAACTAACCACACCTCTAAACTAACCACACTATAAACTAACCGCACTTCTAAACTAACTACACCTCTAAACTAACCACACCTCTGAACTAACTACACCTCTAAACTAACCACACATCTAAACTAACCACACTATAAACTAACCACACCTCTAAACTAACCACACCTCTGAACTAACTACACCTCTAAACTAACCACACATCTAAACTAACCATACCTCTAAACTAAGCAGACCTCTAAACTAACCATACCTCTAAACTAACCACACCTCTAAACTAACCACACCTCTAAACTAAGCACACCTCTAAACTAACCATACCTCTAAACTAAGCAGACCTCTAAACTAACCATACCTCTAAACTAACCACACCTCTAAACTTACCACACTCTAAACTAACCACACTATAACCATGACACTCTAAACTAACCACACTATAAACTAACCACACTTCTAAACTAACTACACCTCTAAACTAACCACACCTCTAAACTAACCACACCTCTGAACTAACTACACCTCTAAACTAACCACACATCTAAACTAACCACACTATAAACTAACTACACCTCTAAACTAACCACACCTCTAAACTAACCACACTATAAACTAACCACACCTCTAAACTAACCACACCTCTAAACTAACCACACCTCTAAACTAACCACACTCTAAACTAACAACACCCCTAAACTAACAACACCTCTAAACCTCTCGTTACAGGTAAGTACGTGACTAGTTCGTACCATCCCCGGGGTAGTCTCCTGAACGACCTGGACACAAGTTTCTACGTGATACAAAGTGGACAGTTCAGTGTGTTCACTGAGGGCGCTAACCAGAAACAGTGAGTATTTCATTGTTAGTTAACAGAAATTATACTTTATTAGGGTGAAAGTCTCATTGCTGGATTTGTTATTAATTAATTGGTTAAATTCTTGGGAAACGCCTAACTATTTCAAACGTAATACGAGACGTCACTTACAGTGTCTCGGATTTCGGGTGGTAATTTGCCGCCAATACAAAATCACTTTATAAGGACTTCACTTTTCCCTCTCTCTCTCTCTCTCTCTGTTCTGGTCAACGGTTTCTGGCTTGACTTCACTTCATATCGACCCTGTTCTTCTTTCTTGATTCTGTTAGATGAACTGTTTAATCTTAAATAGAAGTAAAACCAAAATGCTAGAAGAAACACCTCTGAATCTAGATAAATATGACAATGATATTGATCTGGTTGTCACAGTTTCTAAGCATCTTAGTATTCTGATGAGAAAATACTTTCTTGACCGCATACTTTAGGAAGACACTCTTTTGGGAGCACTTCTTAAAGCTTCAAACTTACCAGTGTCTGTTAAGCATTTCATTTACAAAAGAATTATTGAACCTAGGAATGAACTCGTTCATGATCCAGTCAAGACGTATTTCTCAATTAAAGAACGTTCAAAGTTTTGCAGCAAATCTGTATTCTGGTACACAAAAAGAAAGCAGGAGCATCACGAAAGAATTAGTCAGTTGTCTGAAGGACCACTCGATAGAGAATCCCCAAATTAATATGTTGAATAATGAGTCAGATGAACTCGATTATGCGCTCATTGGTATTTTAAAACCTACAGAAAATGTAAGATTATGAAAACTTCTGCCGATATTCGAACTCCGGAGATAAATTTGCTTGTAGTTGTGGTTGTCTTTGGTGTTCTTACTTAGCACTTATCATTCACTACCCATACAGCACAGCTTTTAACAATTTGTAATAATTTTAGATCATGGGTTTCACCAACATTTCGTTATTTAGCCGACCTATCGCTATCTAGGGAGTAATGATTTATTTAACATCAAAATCATGCTCTACTATTTCTAATTACTGAAAACTAGTAGTCTCCCTTGATAACGACAGGAACCAAATTTCAAACCGTTCAACGACAGAAAAAGTAAAAAGCCCTAAAAGGCCCTAATGAACCCTTATCGTGTAACAATATGTACCCTTCCAGGCACGTGATAAAGAAGTCGTACCAGGGAGATAGTATCTTCAGTCTGCTCACAATACTGGATATGATCTCCCTCAACAAAGTATCTGTCAGATCAGAGGTGTATGCTAGAGCTGATACGGACTGCTACCTTCTCAAGTGAGTTGTACAATTTGACATATCTATCAGTGCTGTTTTCAGTAATAAGTAGATCATCCTTTATCATTAAAGTGGTTTTTATCTTGAATCAACTAGTCATCTTTCTAATTTGTAAATAGAGGTAAATATAAAAAGGGAGCATAATCTCCAGTGATCTCAGGGGGCGACCTCTTCTCATATCACTACTATAACGACTACTTGGACACAAGAAACTAACTGACATTACTTCAGGTTACCCACAAGAAACTAACTGACATTACTTCAGGTTACCCACAAGAAACTAACTGACATTACTTCAGGTTACCCACAAGAAACTAACTGATATTACTTCAGGTTACCCACAAGAAACTAACTGACATTACTTCAGGTTACCCACAAGAAACTAACTGACATTACTTCAGGTTACCCACAAGAAACTAACTGACATTACTTCAGGTTACCCACAAGAAACTAACTGACATTACTTCAGGTTACCCACAAGAAACTAACTGACATTACTTCAGGTTACCCACAAGAAACTAACTGATATTACTTCAGGTTACCCACAAGAAACTAACTGATATTACTTCAGGTTACCCACAAGAAACTAACTGACATTACTTCAGGTTACCCACAAGAAACTAACTGACATTACTTCAGGTTACCCACAAGAAACTAACTGACATTACTTCAGGTTACCCACAAGAAACTAACTGATATTACTTCAGGTTACCCACAAGAAACTAACTGATATTACTTCAGGTTACCCACAAGTGTATTCCGCACAATCCATAGCAAGAGTCCGGAGTCCATGTTCAGATTTGTCCAGGTCATACTGTTGAGACTGTCTCGTGTTACCTATCTGTCTCTTCACAAATACCTCGGCCTCACTAAGGAGCTTGTTGAAAAGGTGATCAAGTGGTTTCAGATACACTTTTATTATATAATTACATAATTTAATGAGATTAGTATTTAATCTCTACTGGAGACTCTAAATTAGTGACCCTGCTTGGTTTTCAGTGCACTTATTTACATTTAGTATTAAATAGTAGTATTTTCTTTGTTTTGATTGAAATTTCTACGGATTTCTAGAACTGCGACCAAACATAAACCTACGCAATAGAAATTTCAATGGCAGAGAAAATTAATACACTTAGTCATGAAACTTGATCGCCTTTATTAAAGAATAATCGTATTTTTGCAGGACATTGTACTACCAGAAATGAACATTCACTGTCTTACTTGTCAAAAGAAGCCTAGATCTGGAAAAGCTCGAAGGTAAATAAAACCCTCATATTATATACTTATCTTTCAGATTAATTGTAAATGTGAGATTATCCCAGGGGCTTGGCACTGTTGACAGATCGTTAACAATTTGTCGTCAGTTCTCCTGAAGACAGTCGTCTTTATCTTATGTATCTTACAGTGTTGATGTATTTAAAGTGTCATCTTGTGTCTTGTTACACGTTGGAAGTGAGACACATTCCAATTACCAGCTCCACTAAGGGAAACCGTCCTTTACTTGTAACGGTCTCCTCTATCATTCGAGTGGCCGGCCTTTGGTATACGTTGTCTCAGTCTGGCTAATGTCCGCCACTCTTTCCTATATCCTGCTGAAATGATCATGCCTCAAATGTTGGGGTTTGATCTAGTAGCGGTCTTGTAGTCCTCTTTAATACAGTCGAGCCAAGACATTCGAGGTCTACCTCTGGTTCTTTTTCCATGTGCTGGTTTCCTCTGCAGTAATTTATTGGGCAGCCGTTCTTCACAAATATGTACTCAACCTTTATAAGGTTATAAGGTAATATATTGTCCAGGAGGCAGCGTAGCAGGAGCAACACAAACAACAGTGCTACAAGTAACTTATCAGCTGATGGAGAGGAGCTCTTCGAGGAGGCGTCTGAAGATCACAGACCCCGTCCTGTTTTTGACATGGGTAAGTGTCACAAATTGGTAAGTGTCACAAAGCGACAGTGCGCGGAAAACAGCACGAATTATTGTCCTGCATTTTTGTTGTTTTTGTAAATTCAAAGGAGAGGTACACAATGTTATCAACAGAGGAAGGGATAATGGTTTACAAATTTAAACCTAAACTCTAGCCTTCCCTATACCACTTGTTCTACATTTCTACATTATCTACTCAACCTTCAATTCCCTTTTTGTAGAAGGGCCAGCTGCTAAGACCGAATCGTCGTTGGAAATGGTTCTAGCAGAATCAGCCCCACATGAAAATGTGGATGATAATAACATTATAAAGATTGCTGTGGAAGATCTTGTCAAACTGCTTGGACTGAAGGTTTGTGCTCTTTTTGTGTCTGCTTATGTATATTTTTAGACAGAACGAATGCATATTGCATATGGAGTTCGGTCTTGCCTAAAAGTAATTCAAAGTGAAGTTTAAACTTTAATAGGTTTTGATTCCTTATGCTTATATCAGTAGACCGGTTTTCTGAAAAATATAGTGCAGCTCTTAGCCGGTTGCAGTCATAACAGTGAAAACGAACTAGAATTTTCTGCGCGCACGAGTGGGTTCGACAGTCGAAGTTCCCTTGTCCAAATTGCTGGGTCTACATTTCATAAGTGATGGAAGGCGCGAACATATTATTGTTGATGGCAACTTTTCGCCAACGCGCGCACACGTATGTACGTTTTATATTTTATAATGATCAATCATGTATGTGATCGAGCTGCCGACTGGCTTGCTCGACTTCACTGTTGACGATTAAACGTACATCCTAACCCTAATGTTTGCCCACAACCCAAAGGACGAGACAGTACTGGAAGGGAAGGTAACACTGGTTCACATAGCTCGCGGTAGTGTTATCTGTAAACAGGGCGACGTGGAGAAGTTCCTGACTTTTGTGGTGTCCGGTCATTTGGAGGTCACTCAACACGACATTCACGATAACGAGGAGGTATGTGGGATTAACGCTTGCCAGAATTCTAGATCTTTACTATCAATTTGGATCCTGCCTAGATCATTAATTATGTGTCACGATAGTGTTGGACCTTCAGAAAACTGAAAAAATACATGGGGCAGTACAAACAACCATTTACATTTCCGAAAAGATTGAAGCTTTTTACCACACTCCTACTTATTCATTTAATACCTTCCCAGGCGTTCCTGTACACCACAAAGTTGGGGGAGTTTATAGGAGTAATGTCAGTGCTGACAGGGGACCCCAGCCAAGTCACTGTCACCGCCATCAAGAGATCTATCATCCTCACTATATCTCGGGCTGATATCATTAAGTTAGTCTAATGAAACTGGTTTCCGTTTCTTCTTTCAGTGCTATAATAATAGTTATCAATATTGAGTAAGCTGTCTCAATTAGCTCTAAATTTTGAATTTCTGCTCTAAATTATATACTACTTGATTGGCGTGATGCTATAGCGGATAACTCCACCACTGAGGTTTAAAAGTAATCCATCTTTCTATCAAGTCCCTCTGCCCAGGCTGATAAGAAGTAACCCAGCTACACTAGAGAAACTGACCCACCAGTTTACAAAACGCATTTCCCTCTTCGTCCGACAGATGGACTATGCCCTGGAGTGGGTTAGTCTCGAGGCTGGACATGCTCTTTACAGGTTCCTATAATCACTGTTATAATTAACGTACAAGTGATCTTTATTTTAGTTTCATTCTCAGATTGATTTCGGCAATCTGACGATTTGTGTCTGAAATCCCTAGAATTCCCACCTAATCAGACATTTCTGTCAAAAAGAGAAGTTCTGAACTAAACTGTAACTTTGTACTGTTTCAGACAAGGGGAGGCGTCACACAGCACGTACATAGTGCTGAGTGGTCGACTCAGATCAGTGCTGGAGCACGACAATGGAAGGAAGGAACTGGTATCTGAGTTTGGTAGAGGGGACACTATCGGGGTAATTGAGTTTGCTACAGGTGAGCCTCTTCAGAGTGGTTAGAAACTGTAAGCTTGCTGACATCACGTGATCATGGTGTTCAGGTCTGTCTTCCTTTCTCAATATATGGTTTACCAATTACCACATATTGTAAAGACTTGCAGTTTTTGCATGCTCTAAATCTTTACACGGCGTGTCACTTACGTGTGCTTCATTGCAATATTGGAGGTGTAGTTTAATCAATAGTATACACAATATATTTTACTTTCATGTGGTTATAGGAAAGTCAATTTAAACAGCAGTCAATAAAGCAAAATTTTATTCAATTACAAGAATAAGGTTAACATAGTCACCGACTAGGGCAACATTTCCATGGACCTAGCCTTAAACGTTGTTACACTGGCTACTGAAGTACATTTTAATTAATTCTGAATGTTACACGTGCAAATCGATGATTAATTCCGATAAGTATAGTAGCAGTCGATTTAAGTACAGATCAGTCGAAAGTACACATTTTATTGTTGTAAAGTAGGACTTTAACAGTCATTGAAGTGATCAAATAGAGTATTTCTTTCGGTTTTTATAACAGGTTAGTATAACTGATAACAGTTTTTACCGTCCATTTATCATTTAAACTAGGGTCATTTTGAGTGTAAGTTTAACGGTAATTTTAGCGAAAAGATAAGTGTGTAGACTTATGTCTAGTTCACTCGTGTGTAATTCACGCGAAAGGGCCAGAGTATGTACAGAGTGTGTGTAAGGGCTCGGAATAGTGTTATAGGTGCAGTGCTCTTTCTTTTTAAGTTTAGTTGCTACAGTATTATATATACGAATCGAAATTATAATAGAAATCATGACCTCATGTTTTGAAAACAAATGGTGCCATGATATTTTTCTGTTTCGAGACATTAAACGTTCTGATAATCGGAATCAGACAGTTAGTTGTTTATTATTTATCCCCTCAGGGTCGCTTCAACAACAAGTCCATATTTAAATGTGAACATCCCCTCAGGGTCGCCCCACACCCACACAGTGCTAGCTGTTCGGGACACGGAACTGGGGAAAATACCTGAGGGCCTCCTTAACACTATCAAACTCTGGCATCCCAAGGTACTTTCACTGCTATTTGGCTGTTTATCGTGTCCGGAAGTGAAGATAACAACTTTGATTGAAACGTATTTACTATTTCAATGTTCGGTGGACCGTTAACCGTTGGTTTTACGTGGATTTAGCAGCTGCTGACCTCCTTAGTTATGCTTTTTGTTTTTTGTCAAATTTTATGATTTCTGATCTATTTCCACAAGAATGATCTACATTTTAAAATGAAGAAGTTTATGATTAAAATCCTAAATAAGGAATTATTATTAAACCCAAATTGCAAGTTAAACCTCCTCAGACAGTATCAAGACTGATCCAGCTGTTAGGAAACCAGGTCCTGGGCCAGGTCAAGTACAGCTCCAGAGAACAACCTCATCTTCACAAACCCTTACAACAAGGGGGACCTGGTGGGTTTGTCTATCTTATGACAGTTAACAGTGTACGAATTTTGTATTTTAATTGGTTCAAAATCGCTTAGATGTCCTTATCATCTGTTGACATTGTGTGAATGTGAACATTCGCCACGCCTTTCATGACTCGATTTAGAATCGGAGTCAGAGTGAGCATGAAAAATGGAGGGAATGTGAAATGTTTGTAGTACCTGACGATTAATCCCTCCCCCCAGGTAGCAACAACATTCACCACACGCCCAACACTAACCTTGCCACGGTAGCCCTACTTCCCTGCACTAGAAATGTGAGTATGTTTCGAAGTCGTTTTATCCACTTACGTGCTTTGTCTTTCTACCTCTGTGCAGTGTCCAGCTTAATTTTACGTGCTTTGTCTTTCTACCTCTGTGCAGTGTCCAGCTTAGTTTTATAACCTGCTTTAATTCGGTTAATGAAACTACCTTACGAGACATATTTATATGGTACGAAATTCGGGGAGTTTTGGAAAAAATGGGAAAAAATCCCCATATTTTCGTACTGAATTTCTGAAATTTCGCACTGAATTACTGAATTTCTGAAAAAATCCCCATATTTTCGTTCCCCCATAATTTCGATCCCCGCTAATTATGATCCACATAAATATGTTTTGTAAGGTACTAAAAAACTTTCACGTCCACGTCCAACCAGCATGGTTTTACGTGACTTGATAACATCACAAAGTTTACACAAATTCTACTTGTACCTCAAGAAACCACCATACCCAATCCAACAACGCCTCCTAAAATTACTCCCCCGCAGGTGCCACTTCACGCCTTCTCAGCAGCTCTCTGCTCCGCAGTAAACACTATAGGACCCTGCACCAGACTTACCTCCTCCCTCATCATCAAGCAGCTTGGCAGTGACGCTCTAAACAGGTACGGGGAGACTGGTCAATTTAGTGGGGTGGTGGGGTCCTGGAGCAGATTCTAGGTGGGGTCCTGAAGCGGATTCTAGGTGGGGTCCTGGAGCGGATTCTAGGTGGGGTCATGGAGCGGATTCTGGGTGGGGTCCTGGGGTTTACGTTATGCAGTTCTTACTGCCATATAATTATGATGGCCTGGCTATCATATCAGCCTTAATTCTCATATTATATTCTATTTATTGCCTTCTGTTAACTCCTTAGTAATGGGTTACCGTCTTTATCTAGTAAATCTATTAAGTTCATTAAACGTCGGATCCGTCTCTGTGGATGTTGTTTCATCCGTTATCCCGGATTTTCTTATCATAAATAAAATAATTATAAAAACGCTAGAATTAACTGAATGTGTTCTTTCTTTAGCCTTAATAAGTGTTAAAAAGGATTTATTCTTATATGACCAATTATACACAATTTCACGTTGAAGATCTATGTACTCCATGAGTCGTTTCTTAATACGCACGCGCACGGCTCCGTTGTCTAGTCTTTCACATTATTCCTCTGCCCTACGTTTCCTTTCGTTTATAGGAATTGCTGGGGAATTGCTGCATGTGCAGAAAGCAAGTTTCAGTAGATGATTCAATCCGAAATATGAATCGTGTTGTCCGATGGGCTTCAAAGACCGCTTATTAAACTCCTCAGATTGCCAGTTTCCTCGGGTGTTACTATCGATAAAATAAGATTCCATAAAATGAATGTGTTTTTATTGCAGATTCTTTTACCAGAGCTGCCTCGTTACATAAGATAACTTCCTTTACTGCTCCTGAGATTCATTATAAGGATATTTAGTTTTCCGGTTTGAACGTAGTATTTAATTAATCCATTATTTAGTCCAAGAATAGTAGTGTTATGTTGTTGATCATAAAGTACATTTTAATTGGGTTAAAACTAAACATACAAGATTGATTACGTATTGTTTGATAATAAAGCATCTCATGAGATTGATAAAGTAATTCAAGACATTCGAAGAAGTGTCTGCTCAGAGTGGGACTTGGAGCCACCAACGGGCTTCTGCAAGTTCTTATTAAGAACTTTTTAAATTGTAAGTTTATTACTATCTTATATATTTATTTTAAACTTAAAGCTTACGATTTATTATAATTAAATTATTATAATTACGAATTATTATAATTAAAATCCTGAAACTAGCTTAATGGTAATTATACCGATCACATAATAATGTCTTCTTTGTAATTGTACGTTCAGTATTAACGACTAACGTGTCGTAAAGTAGAGCATGCACTACTGTATAAATCCTTACTACTCAGAAGCCTTGGCCTTGGCCTGCGAGTGCAATTCCAGATTTAACGGCTCTGCAGCTCTGCTCTGACTACCTACCGATAAGTTTCACATTATTTCAAAAATATATTCTTAGTTAAAGGTTAACAAAATATTCTGAATGATACTAGAGGAAAAAAATGGTTATATCAATTGCTCTTAAACTTAAAATTACATTTAATTACGTTCACATTAAGTTTTATACACATCTATTCCTAATTTCGAATTAGGAAAATATTCCGATGAATTTTTAAAACTTAATTTCTGATAGATAACTCGAAATCATATCAATAACATATTCTAATCCTGGTACACTCACAGTGATAATAGTCGAACTCAACGTTTTGTTTAATGTGATTGTATTAAAGATAAGTATTTTTTGAACGAGAATGTTCCTAAACTTTCTCCTTTTATTTCCTCCTTAGTCTTAATTAAATTCTGATTTTTATAAGATTTTCTACTTTATTATGTCTAATATTATATAAGCATGTTGTTATTGTTGTTCTTTATATTATAAAACAACAATTCTTTAGATCTTAAATACTTGCATAACAATAAAAATCAATTCATTTATTTCCGTGCCCCATACTTGAAAAAAATTAGGCAATGTTTCTTTTAAGCCAGTTTTAGGAAGTAGTCGACCTTCTCAGCAACATGGAGGTACCCCCTTCTGAGCAACATGGAGGTACCCCCCTTCTGAGCAACATGGAGGTACCCCCCTTCTGAGCAACATGGAGGTACCCCCCTTCTGAGCAACATGGAGGTACCCCCCTTCTGAGCAACATGGAGGTACCCCCCTTCTGAGCAACATGGAGGTACCCCCCTTCTGAGCAACATGGAGGTACCCCCCTTCTGAGCAACATGGAGGTACCCCCCTTCTGAGCAACATGGAGGTACCCCCTTCTGAGCAACATGGAGGTACCCCCCTTCTGAGCAACATGGAGGTACCCCCCTTCTCAGCAACATGGAGGTACCCCCTTCTGAGCAACATGGAGGTACCCCCCTTCTGAGCAACATGGAGGTACCCCCCTTCTGAGCAACATGGAGGTACCCCCCTTCTGAGCAACATGGAGGTACCCCCCTTCTGAGCAACATGGAGGTACCCCCCTTCTGAGCAACATGGAGGTACCCCCCTTCTCAGCAACATGGAGGTACCCCCTTCTGAATAATGAAACCCGGTTCGTGCTTGTTGTAGTGTAAGTTGTAACCGTCCATTATTTCAAACAGTGATAGGCCTTTATTGCCTTCTTCAACGTTTGGTGGATAATTAAAAATATCTAAATCGATCATCTTACCATGTAATATAATATAATAATTAATATACAAAATATTTATCATATTCTGACGAGCTCTTTGGAAGGCTGATGTTTTCTTCCATAGAATTAAGTTGATGTATTTCTCTGAATCTGTTGAAGACACTCAAACAGTGTTAAACATTTGAGTAAGAGTATAACGATGAATGTGGCCTGTTCAAATCTCTCCCTGCCATCTGAATTGGCATATCTGTTTGGAGCACTTTTCTTATATCTTTAGACCATTTCCACTTATCTGAGCGGTGTTTTCTGAAAAATTAAATTAATTGTGACTTTAGCAACCGCCAAGTTTGATTTGTCAATGAAACTCTGTTCATTCAAACAAGAAGTTCCAGGTGTTTCATCGACAATTGTTGGTTGACGATGCTGGATTTCGTGGAGCTGAGGAACGTGCACCTCATCAGAGCTTCCGACTCGAATGTGTAGTTCATCAGCACAGAGAGTCTGTTTCTTCTTAAAAAGCTAATAGATCTGCGTTTGAGAATTGACTGTTTTAGCTTTACTTAGGTAATTGTAGCTAATGTAAGTTTACATAACATTGATGACTGTTATCTTGTCCATGAGGTCGAAAAGCGACGCTAGAGAGTATACTGCATAGCCTTGCCTGAAGTAACAGTCCACATAGAAGGCCCTGACCCTGTAGGTGAAAGCTCTTTTCCACGTTAATTTATGGGCCTCGATGTTGCCTGGACTGATGTGGTTGGACATTTCTCTGTTCAAGTGTCCCGATCCCATGGCCACCTTGGCCTGGTTGCCCACTGGTTCCAAATTGTGTCCAATGGCCATTCGCAGGGCTTCACTGAAGAGTGTCCATGAAGTTTGCTTTAGTTGGATTGTTTCCTGGAGGGTGAGCTGTGGAGGGGACGAGTGTGAGATCGGATAATGATTCTGCGTAGGTTAGTTGGTTGGGAGCAAGGTTGGTTTGGAGTGCTAATGGTTGGAGAGTCATGTTTCTAGGGAATTTTGTGGTTATGGTTTACAATCATTAAGGCACAAGCAGGATGATGTGGTTTTGCTATGATCATATATATTTATTACCGAGTAAGTCAGTTGTCTTATATGCTTAATTATACATTATAACCTCGTTCTTTTTTGACGGCGTTATTCTCACTCTCTGGCGGCATCGTTAACAGTATAACTTATTCCTCGTTCTTCTGACGGCGTCGCTCTATAATAGCGGTTTAACTTATGCTCAATAATATTAATATTATACCTTACTTACCCGGTAATAAAGTTCAAGTAAAATTGCGGCGGCAAGCCAAGTGCTCGACAGCGTTTATTTTATAACATGTGTAAGATTTAAATAACAAGGCGGAGTTAGTTTGCAGATCAACGGTTACAAGTGCTTGGTTTATCGGTGGGGGTGAGTAGGTGGGGGGGGGGGGGGGGGGGCCGATGGTGAAAAGTGGTGAAAAATGGTGAATTTTTCTTTTATTTTGCCAATTTACCATAAAAAATGTTCACAATTTTTCACCATTTTTCACCATTTCAAATTGAAATTTTTTTAATAGCTAAATTAAATAATGTTGTGATGTGTTGTAATGACATGATGTTTTACGTATAATTCAGGTATGCTCTGGTAGTCATTCTCTGGTAGGTTCAATGCTTCTACCATCCCTTTCACAAACTTTTCCCTCATTTCTATTTTTACTGATGCGTCAATGTTCGGGCTTTTCTTCTCAGCTTTAACAATCAAACGTTTAACGATCTTCTGTTTACCTTTCGTTGTGCTTGTACTCGCCAAACATTGATTAATGCTTTCAGGTTCGATATATTTTTGTCTGACAATCTGTTTATTATACATGCATGTACAATGGCCAAATTCTCATTCTCAAAAATACTCATGATCCCCCTACCATTAGTGGTTGGGCAAAGCTCTGCTTGGTTTCTGCCATATATTGATAACAATGAAATAAAATAAATTCACGTTCTGCTCGTTCTTTCATTTCCTTTGCTGTATCTTATGGACGCTAAACCTTTTCCTATACGATTAATTAGACCCACAAGGTGGGATCAGAATATGAAAACATAAGAAATAAATAATAAAATAAATAAATAAAGAATAATATCACTTTATTATAACTGTAGAATCTCGAATTAATTTAAATGACTTTTATTGCAATTTGCATAGTTAATTAAAGTAGTACACACTGTACTCAGATTGCCATCGAGTTTCCTCGTTGGCAATCTGAGTTGAAGATCTATGTATTCCATGAGTCTTTTCTTAATCCGCACGGCTCTGTTCCTTTCACATTCCTCATCTGCCCTACGTTTTCTTTCGTTTATAGGAATTGCTGCATGTGCAGAAAGCAAGTTTCAGTAGATGATTCAATCCGAAATATGAATCGTGACAGTCTGTTTATTATTA